TGTTAAGGAAACACACCGATTGGTTGCCTCCTGCACGTGCCCTGACCAGGGCCCAAGAGGGGGAGGAGCCTGCAACCAAAGTATGTGCCCTTGACCAGAATCGAACTGGGGACCCTTGGATCTGCAAGCTGACGCTCTATCCACTGAGCCAAACTGGCCAGGGCTCCTCAAACTGTTTTTAGAAAATGGGAAGTATGTTGCTCTCCTTCTCAGGGTACTTATGAGGACTCAGTGACTTTTCTTTTCTTTTTTTAAAAAAATATATATTTTATTGATTTTTTACAGGGAGGAAGAAAGAGGGATAGAGAGTTAGAAACATCGATGAGAGAGAATTATCGACCAGCTGCCTCTTGCACACCCCTTACTGAGGATGTGCCCCCAACCAAAGTACATGCCCCTGACTGGAATCAAACCTGGGACCTTTCAGTCTGCAGGCCGACGCTCTGTCCAATGAGCCAAACCGGTTTCGGCTCAGTGACGTTTTGCCAAGCTGCACTGTGTGTGCAGGGGGCAGGGGATTGAAAGTAGGCTTGAATGGGGTTATACAGGGGCTGTAGTTTTCATGGGGCACCTCACTCGAGCCACCTGCCCACAGGAACTGGTAGTGGTTCCATCTTGCCTCTAGCTTGGGAAACCCTGGCCCCACTCTGCAGCCCTCCCCGCAGGTGGAGGAAGGCCCAGCCCATGGGGCCAGAGCTTTTGTGGTCAGAGCCCAGACTGCTGCCAGGAAGAGGGGCTGGCACCTTCCTGCCTGTAGCAGCACAGATGGGAGCCGAGGGCTTCCCTGGGGGCCGGTGGGGACACGCCTGGAGGTGCGAGTCATGTGGGCCCCGGGGCAGCAGTCAGCTTGTGAATGGGCAGATGCAGTGCCAGCTGCACAGGTGCGCCAGGAGCCCCACTGCCCGGCCAGGCAGCTCGCAGCTGCTCCTTAGAGCAGAGGCAGTGGCGATGGTGGAGGTAAAACTTGGGGGAAGGTCCCACTGATGCCAGACAAATGCCTTCAGCCTCAGTGCCCCCCGAAGAAAGGAGCTGGTCCCTTCTGCCTAGACTGCTGTGAGGACTAAGGGGGGTACCTGTGAGCACCTGGACCAGTGCCTGCACCCACAGGAACTGAGTGAGTGTGGGCGCACCTTTGGCCGGGGTTCTGCCCTCTTCCGCCCTCACTCTCCTCACTGGACACTGAGGGACCAGAGGTGATCCAACTTCCTGACCTGGGAGCCACCTCAGCACTAGCTGTCTGACCTTGGTCAGGGTAGTCTCTGTGCCTCACCCTCTGCACCCTTGAGAGGGGGTAATAATAATACCCACCTCATGGAGCAGGGAGGAGTGATGGCATCCTTAAAAAGGGGCCTGGTGCGTAGTGGGTACAATTTAAATGTTAGATGCTGCTGCTGCTGTTGTCATTCTTTTCTTCATCATCAGGCCCAGAGAAGCAATGTGACTTGCTCAAGGTCACCCAGCTAGAAAGTGGTGCGCGTTAGGATCAAGGCCAAGGCTGCCGAGCCCCAAGGCCCGTGCAGCTTCCATCTCTCCCCACCGCGCCTCTTCAGGCACGTGGGCAGTAAGTGGGTCAGAGGCAGTGAGTACCTGGGGGGATGACGTGGCAGCAGGGACCGTGTGTGGATTAGTTCCTTGTCTCCTGCTGACACCTGGCAGGGAGCAGGGAGCAGGCCTGAAGGGAAGGGAGGTGGGCAAGGAAGCGACCCCCAAATACTCATTGTCCTAAGAGAGACACACCCTGTCTGAATCCTGAGACCCCAAGAGACAGGAATGGGCAGGAGGGAAGGCTTCTTGGAAGAGTGGGACCTGAGCATACTGAGACGCAAGAGCTGGGGCAGGGGGTGTGGAGGGAGGAAGGGAGGTGAAGGCAGGTAGCAGGAATGTGGAAGAGGCTGCAGAGGGACATTCAAGCTGGAGAGAGGCGGTGCGGAGCATGAACTGAACCTGGGGTGAGGGGGCAATTAGTGGGGCTAAAATCCACTCTGGCTGTGCCCCTGACCCAGCCTGGTGCCCAGAGCAGCAGGGAGGAGCCAGGCACCAGCAGGCCCTGCAGGAGGGAGCAAAGGGCTCCTAGCACCTTGCAGCTGCTCATCCAGCTCCCCAGGGATGTGGGCACAGCCCAAAGTGGGAGCGTTGCACACGTGTGTGCATGTGCCTGCACACGGGCCCTCCCACCTCAGCAGCCCTGGGGGGTCCACACACTCCAGGAGAAGTGGGTCAGCAGAGCAGCCCAGTGTGTTTCCTGGTGGACAGCAGGGGGCGTGTGCTCCCCAGCACCCCTGGGGAGAGCCCACACTCCACAGGAGGCTCGGGCTGGCAGGCAGCCTCACTGTTCCCGCTGCATCAGCCAGCGACTCGCTGTCCCGGGATCCTCCCCCAGGCGGGGTGGATGTTTGACAGAGTGAAAGCTGACCCTTCCAGCCCTGAAACCAGGGAAGACTGGTGGGAGACAGCGCCCACTTTAGCCCAGCTCCCCCCTGCAGCTCTGCCCCAGCACCATCTGTGACTGCAGCCAGAGGGTCCAGTGATATCCAGCCAGCCAGGAGCTGGGACTGCAGACTTGGTGACGGTGCATGGCAGGGTCGGGTTCAGCACACTGAGTGGGGCGGAGGGAGGGGACAGGGTTGGGTCTCTGGAGGCCTGCCACCACCCCTCCCTCTGGGGGTCTGACATGGGCTAGAGACACGGAGGGCACTCATGTGGCATTTCAGATGGGCTCCTGGCATATGTTGAGGCTGAAAGAAGTAGGAGAGGAAAAGCAGTAGGCAGGGAGGCTTCTATTGGAACAGGCTTATTCATGAATGGAGGAGAGGAGGCTGAACAGGGGGCAGGATGCTGAGGAGGAAGGGGTGGGAGCCAAGCTGAGGAGGGAAGGGGGCCCCCAGCTCCCCGCCATCTGGGAGCACTGCAGATGGGGCTGGGGGGGAGGCCAGGAAGTTCCCTCCTGATGTTCCTCCTCCGTGCGAAGTGGGAGGCTGGGTCGTGCAGAGGGAAGGGGAACACAGAGGAGGGTTTGGGTCTAGGAGAGCGGCTGAGCCAGGGAGAAGATGCTGGCTCACGGAGGACTCACCTGGCTCCCAGCCTCTGGTGGAGCACAGCCAGAGAGCATGTGGATTATACTGAGAGCCCGCCCCCTGACACAGAGCACTTCACAGGCTCCAGTCTGCCAACTCACTGGTCCTCACCACAGCCCAGAAGAGAAGGGACTCTTTCCTCTCAGAGAGGGGAAGCTGAGGCACAGGGCCATGCAGTAACTTGCCCAAGGCCAACCAGCTAGCAAGTGACAGAGCTGGGGTTTGAAGCCGGCCCTCTGGCTCCAAGTCTGTGCTTTCCCTCAGCCCCGGGGGGTCTTGCAGAGGGTGGCTGTGAGGGTGAGTGTTGGGTGGCACACCTGGGGTGGAGGTCGAGGGGCGTGCGGGGAGCAGAGGAGGCTCCAAAGAGGCCGCTCCTGTCAGCAACGAGTGCAGTGCCGGCCACTCCCGCTGCTGCACGTACCGCCCCCAGCCTGTCCTCCCCCGTCAGACAAGACATGCAGGCCCAGAGGGCACCCACTGTCACCCAGGCCTGGACTCCCCACGACAGCTCTCGGCCCCAACACCATCTGGACACAACCTGTACCTCCTGGGTGGGTGTGTCCAGCTCTGTAGACACTTGAAGGGGTCAGTCGGGGGGAGGGGGGGGTCTGTGGGACTGGCGCTCTGTCCTCCTGTCTGGGCCCAGGCAGGGTCCTGGGACTCCAGCAGTGGGTGGCTCTGTGTACCTCAGCTGGCTGTGTGTCATCGTGGCGCTGGAGGGACTGTAAGCTGTGGTGGGGGTGGGGCCGTATCTGCACCATCTGTCAGAGTTCTGAGACTGCAGCTGAAGTATCTGATAACATGACCTCTGCCCTCAGACTTGCCTTCCCCACTCCTGCCTTATTTTTGTCTACAGCCCATATCCCCCTTTCTCATAATACATACTCCATGTGTTCACCACGCATATGACCATCTCCCGAAGGGAAGGCCCGAGGCAGGATTCTTACCGTCTGTCCAGTGCAGTGTCCCCTGGGCTCGGTGACACTGGCCGAGGACAGGTGCTGATCAGCACTGTGAATGGGACCACTTCTGTGAATGCCGTCCCTGCATGGCCCCCCCTCCCTCTCTCTCTCTCTCTCTTTTCCTCTTTCCCTCTCTCTCTCTCTTTTTCACCATTTACTTGATGCTGAATTAATTGCTGACCATAAGCTTTTGTTCTTTCCATTTCTTCTGGGCCATCCTTCTCTCCTGTGCACTCCTCCACGGGTGTAAGAACCTGCCCTTTCTCAGCAGGGTCCCCTCCGTGCGGGTTAACCCGCCGTGAGCTCTGGGTGGTCTGCCCGCATCTTGGGGTGTTGTTCCCCCGGATGTGCTCGGTGACCAGATAATCTACTTCTAAACCCTCGCGCTCTGCAATGCTCGCTGCATTGCTAAGCACATGCGGCAAAAACTCAGCACTCCGTTCTGGCCACCGGCCCCAAGTCTAGCCCCACTGTGTGGCCCAGGCACACCCCCGCTCCATCACTGTAATGACGAGTGGCACACATTGCTTCTGCAAAGTGACACGAAGATCTGAACCTCTTGAATTGCATGATTTTGTGGGGTTTTCTGGGTCAGCTGAATAGCAACCCATTTTTGGAGGTCACCTCTAGCTGCTCTCAGGAAGAGCTGTGGCATGTCTTTGTGTCAGGATCATCCCTGACACTGTCTGGATGATAGCAAGAGACAAATAGGCTGGCAGTGCCCACGGGGAGGGGGTGGGAGGGTGACAGTGCCTGTCTCTGGGGGTGGGGGTAGCTCAGCTGGTCCGGAAGCTTGGGGAAGGTAATACAGCAAAGGTGCTTGTTGCCCCCTGTGGTCATCCTGGGCCTGGTGTCTGGCCTCCAGGGATTCTGGTGCTGGGGAGGGGAGGGAGAGGTGGAGGATGGGGCCCTGGCCTGATGTCACACTCCATGCCGCCCCCCCTCACCCCACAACAGGGAGAAGATGAGCGTGGGCTGCCCAGAGCCCGAGCCACCCCGCTCCCTGCCCTGCTGTGGGCCAGGGACAGCCCTTGGGCTGGGGACAGGCGTGCCCCTCCTCACCGAAGACATGCAGGCCCTGACCCTCCGCACCCTGGCCGCTAGCGACGTCACCAAGCACTACGAGCTGGTGCGGGAGCTGGGCAAAGGCACCTACGGGAAGGTCGACCTGGTGGCCTACAAGGGCACAGGTGAGTGTCTGGAAGGTGGCTGGTCTCATGGCTTGGGTGGGACTTAGCCGGGCTCTCAGGTGCTCTCTGCGGGGCCAGGAGGCCATCAGGGAGGAGAGGCCGTGGTCCAGGTGAGGAGGATGCAGCCTGAGTGGCCCAGGACAAGGGGACCGGGCAGATGGGACAGAGGAGGAATCTAGAGGCAGAATGTCCAGATGTGGATGCTTTGGGAGCATCCCAGGTGCCTCTGGAGCTCAGGAGGAGTCAGGGTCAGGGCCGGTGGTGGTGCTGGGAGAATCACCAGCTTATAGTGATAGCTGGCCCCAGGGAGATGGACAGACTGTGGGTCCCCCAGAACAGGGCGACCTGCATGAGCTCCCACATTTGCACACACCTGGGGCAGGGGGCTCTATGCCGACTGAAGGCAACAGGAAGATCACTGGATGTGAGGTCACCTGAGGTTTGCCACTTGCTGTGTGACCTTAAGCAAGTGACTTAACCTCTCTGTGCCTAGGTTTCATCCTCTGCAAAACAGGGTAGCATTAGTGCGCAGCTCATAGGATCACTGTGAGGAGTCAGTTGTGAATGGGAATTGCTGAAGGCAAGGCAAGTGCTCTGGGATACAAGGGTGCCTGCCCCAGCAGAGTCAGGGACACTAGTATGTGCCTTGCGGGCCCTCACCTCCCCGTGTTTAATTCCTTCTCATTCACTCATCCATTAAAGCAGACATTTGCTGAGCACGTACTGTGCATCAGACTCCTGTAGTCCCTGGAGACATAGCAATAAACAAAGCACAGTCCCTGCTTTCCGAAGTCGTGTTCTTGTTGGGGGAGACACACATGCTAAATAAGTCTAGTGTGTCAGGAGGACAATGAAAGGGGGAGGGGGGGCAGCTGCAGGCTGGGTCTGCCCCTGGGGCCCCATCGGACCCTGGGACAGGCTGTGCCGGCAGGCAAGGGTTGTGTCAAGTGCAGGAGGGAGGAGCGGGGCGCTCACCACTGTTGCCCTGCCAGGCACGAAAATGGCGCTGAAATTTGTGAACAAGAGCAAGACCAAGCTGAAGAACTTCCTGCGGGAGGTGAGCATCACCAACAGCCTCTCCTCCAGCCCCTTCATCATCAAGGTCTTTGACGTTGTGTTTGAGACGGAGGACTGCTACGTCTTCGCCCAGGAGTACGCGCCCGCAGGGGACCTCTTCGACATCATTCCTCCGCAGGTTCGCGGGCGGCTGAGGGCGGGGAGCGAGGTGGGGCGTGGTCGGGCCGCTCGTTTACCCCATGAGTGTGCACTGAGTCACTGCGGGGAGGGCAGGGGGCTCACAGTGAACGAGACCAAGGTCCCGTCTCTGGGGGGGGACACAGACACTTGGCAGTCAGCCAGTGACAGGCTGCGAGGAGCCCCGGAAGGAAGCAGCCAGAGAGATGGATGCAGGCCAACAGCAGCATCCTCTCCGCTGCGAAGGGCCGGGTGGAGGCACCAAGAGGGAGGCAGCAGGGCCACAGGCTTCCCAGAGAAGCTGCGAGTGGGGAAGCAGGAGGGTTCCGGGCCCAGCTTTGCTGCCGGCCGTGCCAGTTTGAATCTGCTCCGCCCCCTACTGATAAGTGACTAGGTCTCTCCCAGCCTCGGGGGCCCTAAAGAGAAATGGACATAATCGGAGCCCCTGTGGAGCTGACGAGACAGGACAGGATAGGGTGCTTCACCCAGCAGGTGCTCAGCACCGTCTGCCGCTGCAGTTACTGGGGAAAGGGCCAGACCGGGACTAGAGAAGCCCGGTGGGTGCGGGAGGGCAGCTGGTGCTGGTGGGGGAGGGGGCGGGGCCCCAGGAGCGGCCAGGCCCGGGCTGGGGGTGGGATAAGAGAGGCAGCAGGCGGCGGGGCGGCCGGCGGAGGGGAGGGGTGTGGGCTGGGACGGAAGGAGAAGGGCCGAGTTCGGGGAGGGACAGGCGGCTCTGAGCGCGTGTGTGTCGTCCCCCCCGCAGGTGGGGCTCCCCGAGGACACGGTGAAGCGCTGCGTGCAGCAGCTGGGCCTGGCGCTGGACTTCATGCACGGCCGGCAGCTGGTGCACCGCGACATCAAGCCCGAGAACGTGCTGCTGTTCGACCGCGAGTGCCGCCGCGTGAAGCTGGCGGACTTCGGCATGACGCGCCGCGTGGGCTGCCGCGTGAAGCGGGTCAGCGGCACCATCCCCTACACGGCGCCCGAGGTGTGCCAGGCGGGCCGCGCCGACGGGCTGGCGGTGGACGCGGGCGTGGACGTGTGGGCCTTCGGCGTGCTCATCTTCTGCGTGCTCACCGGCAACTTCCCGTGGGAGGCGGCCTCCGCGGCCGACGCCTTCTTCGAGGAGTTCGTGCGCTGGCAGCGCGGCCGCCTGCCCGGGCTGCCGTCCCAGTGGCGCCGCTTCACCGAGCCGGCGCTGCGCATGTTCCAGCGGCTGCTGGCGCTGGAGCCCGAGCGGCGCGGCCCGGCCAAGGAGGTCTTCCGCTTCCTGCAGCACCAGCTCACGGCCGAGCTGCGGCGCCGGCCCTCGCACCGCGCCCGCAAGGCCCCGGGCGACCGCGCGCCCCCCGGGCCGCTGCGCCTCGAGGCGCCCGGGCCGCTCAAGCGCACGGTGCTCACCGAGGGCGGCAGCGGCCCCCGGCCCTCGCCCCCCGCCGTGGGGCCTGTGCCCGTGCCCGTGCCCGTGCCCGAGGCCGGGCTGGCGCCCCCGGGCCCGCCCGGCAGGACCGACGGCCGCCCGGACAAGAGCAAAGGGCAGGTGGTGCTGGCCACGGCCATCGAGATCTGCGTCTGAGCGGCCGCCGCCGCCCTCGGCCGTGCTGGTCCGGTGCGCGCAGCCGGCGGGGCTCTGGGGCCGCCCTGGGCCCGCCGGGCCGTGGCCGCGGTGGCCGTGGTGGCGGCCGGCGGGCAGCACCGCCCGGCCCGCGGGGCGGAGCTCGTAGCAGTAGTCTAGGCAGGACGGCGGCCCGGGCCGTCCATCCGTCTGAGGGCTGGGGAGACGGACACTGAAGGCCTCTGGCCTGGCCTGTGGGGACACCTGGAGCAAGGGAGCTTGCGGGTGGACCCCCAGCACCTCCCTGAACCCCAGAACCTCGGACCAGTTGCCCCTGGCCCTTCGCATCCCCCTGGCAGATGATCCCTCAGCCCCACCCCAGTCCTGCCCTCCTGCCCCCTCCACTCCCTGGGCACAGAAGGCCGGGACTGTGGGGCAGAGAAGAGGCTGAGGACCCTGGGCCAGCTGGGAGGAGGACAGTGAGCGGAGAGCAGGGTTGCTCAGCTGCATCCTGCGAGGTTGGGGGGGGGGAGGGGGGGGAAAGGCCAGCCGCTTGCAAAACGTAGCAGATGTCTGGGTGGTGCAGTCTGTGTGCAGGCACAGGCCTGGGAATCTAGTGACTCCTCCCGCCTTCTGATGACACGGATGGCAGGGCGAGGGCAGCTTGCCTTGGGCCACACAGCCACTGAGAGGTGGCGGTCCTGTAGCCTCACCCTCCTCCCCAGAGGACAGGAGGGCTCCCAGGGCAGGGGAAGGAGTGTAGAGCCCAAGTCAGGATCCAGCTCCCCTGCCCGCCACCTTCCCCAGGCCCAGGGAACCTCAGGCCCCCTCAGGCCTGCTGCCCAGCCCAGAGCGCCCTGGCTGCCGGTGAGGTGATTGGTGCAGAAATTTCCCTGGGTCTCTGCTGGGGTTAAATACGGCAGCCTCGTCCCCGCGTCACACATTCTGGTCCTGGGGTGTGAGGACGGGGTGCTGAGGAAACGGGAGGGCGTGAGTGTGTGTGACAGGTGTGTGCAGTGTGAGCGAGAGTGCGCGCGTGTATGCGTGCGTGCGTGCGTGCGTGCGTGTGTGTGTGTGTGTGTGATGGGTATGATGGGTGTGGTGTGTGCAGTGTGAGCGAGAGTGTGCACGCGTGCCTGCCTGTGTGTGTGTGAGTGTGAGATGGGTGTAGTGTGTGCAGTGTGAGCAAGAGTGCACGCATGTGCGTGTGTGTGTGTGTGATGGGTGTGTGTGTGTGAGATGGGTGTGGCATGTGCGTGCATGTGTGTGTATGTGTGTAGCCTTGTGTGTCGAGTGACTGCGTCCAGAAACCTCAGTAACTCCTCCCTGCCCCAGGGCCCCGCCGGCAGCTGCCGAGGGCATCCAGGCCTGCTTTCACCACCCGCTCAGGGAACCGCCCGGAGGCACCTGCAGGTTGGCCCGGCCCCAGGCAGCAGAACAAAGGGGAGGAGCCCAGCCTCACCCAGGGCTCTCTGGCGCCCTGCCCTCCTCAGAGGCCCAGGACCCGCAATAACCTCAGACGGTGAGGCTGCTCCGCCCCGGCAGGCCGTTCCCCATCCTGCGCCCCTCCTGCCAGGGCCCCTCCTGGCCATTGAGGGTTCTGTGATGGGCCAGGCTGACCAGAGGAGTCCCAGCCGCCCTCTGGCCTGGAGCCCCTCCACCCTCCCCTTTCTCCCACCGCACAAAGGGCTATAGGTCCCCGCCCTGCCTGGGTCCAGTTTACAAACAGGTTGCCCAGGGCCTGCCCCCCCCCCCTCGGCGTGCGCCCTCTCAGACCCACCTCTGGAGCAGGCGTGGGGCCTCGCACCCGGGTAAGTAGCAAACCCCTCCTTTCTCAAGGGCCAGGCCCCCACTGCCCCGGCCGGGAGCCCGCCCTCTGGCACCTCTCCTTTTGCCTTAGGCCGTTCGACATCCTGTCTCCTGCAATAACCAGGAAGGAGATTCCAGTAGCTGTCCCCGCGTGTCCTCCCTCTCCGCTGAGACCCTGTCTGCGTGGCTGTTAGAGCCGGAAGGGACCGTAGTTATATAGCAGCATCTCCAGGGCACGGCCGGCCGGACGCCGGCCCCGCGGGGCTGCCCCGGCCGCCGCTGCGGGCTGCTGGGCACCCTGTGCCCCTTAGGAGAGGTGTTGGTCGCAGATGTTTACCTCAGTTTATGTCACTGTCGAAGAAACAAAAAATAAATAGCAAAAAGTAACACCGTAGACATGAAGACTTAGAAAAAAAAAAAAAAACTTTAAAAAAATCCTCCCCTTGCTATTCCCCTGTGAGGTGTGTCTCCGTCCCCTCCTGGGCAGGCCCCGTCCTTTGGTGCTTCCCAGAGGCCCCTCTGAGCTGGCCTGCAGGGTGTGGGGAGCCCTGGGCGGGAGCAGGGCCACACGTTAGCCAGAGCGGCTCCTGCCAGGCGGAGCCTCGCGGCCCGCCGCCCCTGAGCCCCGCGCTGTGGCGGGGAGCCAGGCTCAGGGCCTGGGTGGGATCCCCAGCCCCACATATATCGACACCCCCCCCCCCCATGTGTTTGTAAATACTCCGGCATCCTTTGGCCCTGAGGAGGTTTTTAAATGTGTTATTCTCTAATCATGACAATTGCTATAAAATAAAAAATTTAGAAAAATGACCACTGGGTGGCTGTCTTGTCTCAGATACAGGGCTGTGGGGTACACAAGTGTGTGCAGTGGGGGCGGCTACTCCAGGCCTCCTGCCACCTCAGACGTGGGGGAGGCCCAGGCAGGGCTGAGCGTGAGGTAAGCAGGCCCCGGGCCTGGGGGAGGGGCGGGGAGGTCCGGAGGGAGCTCCCCGGGCTCAGCGGTCAGCGTGGGTCTGTCCACAGATTCGCCCGGTCACTGTTGGAAACCCTCCAGTCCTCACCCCTAGGTCCCAGCCCCACCCCTACGCCTCTCCGGCTGCCTCCCACCACATCGTGCTCTCTCAGGACCTGGGCCCCTGCCTTGGACTCGCCCAGATCTCCCGGAACCCCTCCCTCCAGGCCCCGCTCCCCTGCGAACTTCCCTGCAGGGTACCGGGCTGCCCTGTGCATTGAGCACTCAGTAGGCTGTGTCTGCCCCGCCCCTCCCCACCAGAATGGAAGTTCCTTCGGAACAGTCAGTGCTGCCCTGGCTGTGTGGCTCAGTTGTTTGGGCGTCACCCTGGGCACGGAGACGTTGCAGGTTCGATTCCTGGTCAGGGCACGTGCCCGGGTTTCAGGCTCCAGTGAGGCAGGCAGGGGATGCTGAAGGGGCGCAGGGGGCAGCTGGTCCATGTCCCACTCTCTGGCATTTATATTTCTCTTTCTCCCTCTCTCTCTAAAAATAAAATAAAATAAAACATTAAAAAAAAAAAAAAAAAAGACAGTATTTGGCAAATTGCTTCTCCCTCCTTGGCACGTGACTGTTAGGGGCCCAGGGGTCATCAGTAAATGAGACAAGTGAGCTGGCCCTGCAACGTATTTTCTAAAGCGGGAAACAGACATTAAGTGGGTTACACGGGGGCCAGCCCCGCCCGGCGGCCGCCCTAAGCACCCTGGGCTGCACTTGCCCTCTCCACAGCCACCGGTGCTCTCCACGCCACACCCCGGCTGGCTGGCAAGGCCCAGGGGCTGTGTTGAGGAGAGGGGCCAGCTGCTGCCAACCCTGAGGGCTGTGGCGTGGAACGGGCTGGAAGGCCCGGACGCAGCCTCAAGCAGGTCCATTTCAAAGATCCGCCCCCCTCCCCGGGCTTTTGGCTTCAGGACAAAAATGGCCCTGCAAGCTGAGCAGCCGGGCCAGCATCCTGAATGGCTTGCCATGTGCGGGGGCCCCCCTCACCCTGAGCACCTGCGTGTGCAGGCCTCTCAGAGGGGACACAAACCTGCCGGCTTCCTCCCACATGTAGCTGTGCCCGTGTCCTGGACCCTTGAATTCCTCAGGGAAAGGGGTCACTGAACTGGAAATCCAGAGAGAGAACAGGGGAGCACCCCCCCCCCCCCCCCCCGCTGCAGTCAACATGGCCATGTCCACCTGCTGCCTCCATTCAGGGGCGAGTCCTTGCTGTGGGAAGAGATGCGAGCATCACTGCCAACACCAGGGACTTAGACCGATTCCCCCCACACGTGCTCCTCCTCTTGGGGCCCTATTAAAGTGCCCCCATTTGAGTAAGCTCTCCCCACTCCTCACAGCCTCCCGGGTACAGCAGTGATGTCCTCTCCAGGCCGTATTTGCTGCCTTTCTAATCCATTACCCAAGACACTGTGGTAGAAGCAGGGTCTGAGGCAGGATCTTAGAAACCAGAACCCTAACGCCAACCCCTCCTATGTGACAGAAACATGTGCCTTTTCTGCCTCAAATAAAACCTGTTTCACGTGGCGGGGAAAGTAGGTTACCTAATTATCTATGAGATAGGAGTTGGGGGTAAGAGAGTGGGGGCGAGGGGAGACAGAGAAAGAAAAATTCACTCAGGCCAGATCAGAAGGTGAAGGGCTCCCAGGCAAGAATTTGATCTATTAAATCCTGTTATTTCTAAACATCTGCCGATGGTCTGCGATAAGGGTGGATGCTTGGAGGCAATAATCACTTTACCCAACAAAAATACTTGGGCGCTGGCCCAGTAGCTCCGTTAGTCAGAGGGCCATCCTGATGCGTCCACCAAGGTTATGGTCTCCATCTGCTGGTCAGGGCACATACATCAACCAGTCGCCCTGGCCAGTGGACAGAGCATCAGCCCGTGCACGGAAAGGTCAAGAGTCTGATTTGGGGTCAGGTCAAGGGCACATACTGGGTTGCAGGTCAATCCCAGCCCCAGCTGGGACACCTGCGGATGACATCCATTGATGTGTCTCTCACATCAGTGTTTCTCTCTCCCCTCCGCCCCTCCTTCCAAACTCTCAAAAAATCAATAGAAAAAAATATCCTCAGGTGAGGATTAAAAAAAGAGAGAACCAACCAATGAATGCATACGTGGAACAACAAATCAATGTTGGTCTCTCTAAAATCCATCAAAAGTGTTTTTATTTTAAAATATATTTATTTTTTTAAATGTTTTATTGAT